CTAGAAGGTAGCTTGATGCAAGCCACCTCCCCCTCCTTGTGGCCCCAGCCTGGGGTGTGAGGGTGCTGCTGGCCTGGATGGGTACGCAGCGGGGTGAGGTGAGGCATGGGTGACCACAGCATCTGCGCCATCTGGGCCTGGTTCCAGTTCAATCTGCAATCCATTTCTCAATCTGGTTGTAATAGTCAGAGCTTAGGGCCGGCATTTTTGCCATTTTTCTGTCCAATCGTTATGACATGTCTGCAATCCTAAATTAGTCCAAACCATCTAGGCAGATGGGTGAGGTAAGGTGAAGCAGCTAAGGAGAAATGGGAAGTGGCCAAGCAGTGACGAGCTCTGGCAGCAAGCCCTCTGGCTCAGTGTGGGAAGGCAATAAAGGTGGCACGCAGCTGAGCCAACAGCTGACAGGAACAGGAACCAATGCTTGGCCAAGGTCAGGAAAACAGAGCACTCATACACACTCACATGGAGGACGAGCACCACAACAACAAAAAATTTTGAAAAGTAGGAATTGAGATTTAATAAAACAACGAGGGACAACACTTGAAAGCCTGTATGACAGAATACAAATGATTTGGAAGAAACCCTTGCAAAAAGCACAGTTGCTATTGTTGGCATCCATCAGAGCCAGAAACCTGTTGAGATACACACAATACAACCTTTGCATGGTTTATCCAAACCTCACTTTAAAAAAAACTAAACAAACTCCATGTCGGCTGACAGAAAAAAAGTTTTTTTTAAAATGCTATTAATTGCTTCAGCAAGAATAATTTCTAGCTGGACTAAACCTTTTTAAATTAAACTAGTACACAGACTTGCAACAAAAAAAACATGTCTACAAACATTGTGCATACTATACACAAAGTAGGAGTGTCTTCATGGTGAAATGCTATATTTTCAGAGAATGAAAACAGAAAAAATTACCATTTTGTATTGAAACTGTGTGCCGACTACACAATTTCAATAGAAATTATTATGTTAAAACATTCCTTTAGGATATCTAAATAATTTTTAAATCGTCAAATAGATTGAACCTTTAAATAAAGACTGCTTTTGCCTGTAGAGTCTAGTCTTAAGTTAAACTGTTCACAAATGTTACTGTTGCAATCTACATCCCAAACTGCATGTATGATGAGTCACTGCATAAAAATGGCAAATTATTAACAGGAGGAAAGACAGACTGAAATCAAAGAAACAGAACAAACGGTCCAAGGCAGGGACAGAGAGGCAGAGGGAGCTCAGCTCCTCTGGAACAGAACCCATTTCAACCTCTGGGAGTCCACATGTGACAGCAGACCTCTCACTGAGAGGCAGAAGGGGTTTAAATATCAACCTCTCATTAGCCTGCTCCCCTGAACAGTTTCTGCTGCTGAAGTAGACCAATTAGCCGTGAACTTTACATTTTATAAGCGCGTCACGCCCCACCCCCCCTTAGTAATCAGGAGATACTGTAGGGCTAGTTTAGAATCTAAAAAAAAAAATTGAAAATGAAAAATGTTATTTATCTTTGCTGTAACTGCACCTTTACATTTGAAATACAAAAAAAACAACTATAAGCATAATTCTTGCCAAACATACTTTTGTAAAGAGAGGGAAAATCAAAACCATTTAATAATTGAAAACCTTTAATTCAACAAAAGAGAGAAAGTGTCAACTGTGTGTGTGTGTGTCCAGACAGAGAATGCAAAGAGCTTTGCTGCTTCCATGAGGGAAAAGGTGGTGTCAGTCGTGTGTAGACACTCAGACACCCAGATAACTGTAATTACCTCAGCAGCAGACAGAGATTAATTAAACAAACGGCTAGAACTAATGAGATAAGAACACACACCTCAAGCAGACTTTCAAAACGTCACATCTGCAGTGTGTATACATTTAGAAGCTAATGATGCAGAAGGGGAGAGAAAAAGTGTGCTCTTACATTCACAGAGTAAGCAGTAACGGCCTCGGCACATTTAACACGAAGAGTTTTTTTTTAATCAAATCATAACTCACTCACAGTCAAATCGGGATGCATCCAAATGGGTCTATGTGAAACACTTCAAAGTTCCATGTTTCTCAGCACGTTTTAGCAGCAACAGCAAAGGCCTGGTGGACATCAGACCATGTGACCCACTTCCCAAATCCGACAAGCAAGTCGCAGAGTTCCACAGCAGCCACAATAACCAGACACCCAGAGAGGAATGGCTTCCAGTGAAAGATGGGGGTTGCCGACCCACAAATATGGACTCAGTTATTCAGGACATTGTTCCACAAGTATTCCGCTGGATCTCAAGATGAAAAGCAGGTGCGTATGGCAGTCATATTTTACCCAGGAAAACGTGTTGTTAGAGTCCAGATGTGCTGTGCTCTATCCAAAGATTCAGATTGTTTAGGTAAACTTTGATTTGATTGGAAATATCTAATAATAAAAAAAAAAAAAGTCCCTGTTTAAGGTAAAACTGAGTGTGCCCCATCCTTTTAAAGTCAGTACAATACGGGATAGATGGAACCGCTTTAAAGTGATACAGGAACCTACCATTAAATAACTTCCCTAGCCTGCAACAGAGGGACAAAAGTTCTTCCACCCCTCAGCAGAAGATGCAAACAGAGGAGCGTTGTCCAATTTAAGCTTCACCCACAAGCCTTCCACCACAAAATGTGATTCTTGAAGCCATGACTAGCAATATGGACTGCATCAATCATAGAGAGTAGTCATGCAAGTTCAGATCTGAATTCTAATGCTGTGAGAAAGCCAAAAACAGAAAATATGCAGTGAACGTAAGCACCTAATGACACAATGCTGACTGACCTCTGGCCTTACTCATGGACAAAAAGTATTATCATGATTTCCCATCTGAATAAATATTGTTTTTGCCATCTCCAATAAATAGCTACTGAACCCTGTTAGTCATCAAGCTGTCATTTGTTTTCCTGTGACCTCATGAAAACACGTCTATACACTTCCGGCGTTTCGCGTCAATAAACACATCAGATAAATGTGGCTTAAACAATAGTCTAGTATTTCCTTCTTAAAACCTAATAGAAAACAGAAAATCCTACTACGTTAAAAGACTCGGGTGCACCTCCTGTGAGCCGAAAGAGTTCCTCAGTAAATTAACGCTTACGCTCACCGTCACGGATGCGTCGTCTTACCTTCAAATAAGTGCTCATTCTTGAGTTTCCAGTTCTGCAAAAGCGTCCAACAATAACTCTCAGGCACATGCTGTTCTGCGTGTTTTCTTTTCTGTAGAAATCATGGTCACCTCGGGGTTGGGTCACTCTTCAGGCGGTGGCGAGTTTGGAGAAAAAGCCAACAGGTGTGAGAGGGCGGCTGATTGCCCAACAGGTGACGCTGATCCAGAGAGCTACACATATAGATTCCAATTAATACTTTGGAATAAATATAAGCCTTTATTCCACTATTGTTGTCATCAGTCTCAAATATAAGAGTTACTGGCCCTTAAATTGTGAAAGTGGCCTAAAAACACTTAACAAGGTCAGAGTTTACGGTTGACAATGACCTAAATGACCCACAGAGATTGGCTAATGGGACACATGTGACCTCAACAACTCTAAACGTGAATGTACCAAACAGCCTGTGGCCACAAAATCCCCAGCCTGAAAAACTGAAGGTCAAAAGTGTCTATAATGATGAAATTTTACACAATATCAGAAAAGATGGCAACACAACTCACCAACAAATACTTTTTTATTTTATTTATAAATTAGACTCACGTTGCACCACACCATCACAACCGTCACACCCAGATCATGCATCAATATTTTTAAAAATCTGGTAGTAAGGACAAGCCCTGATTGAAATTCAAAGTTCAAAACAAGAAGAGCACAGTGTGAAAATAACATCAGCATTGTTTAAGAATGATAAACTGCTTTCATACGCCTTCTTCGTGCCTTTGCTCTCTGTCACATAGATAAGAATATGTGCATGAGGACGTATCTCTATCAAACTGACCATTCAAAGCCACATCGCACAAAATTAGCAAAAACATTTAGACTCCCACTTCAAAGTGCCCTGAACAAAGAGAAGTGGTTGTAAGAAAGAATAAAAAAGGTTAAACTAAAAATAAGTGGGAGGTAGATCAAACATGGACTGGCACAAAACTTTTAGAGCACATTTGAGAAAGCATTTGTGGAAACTGATTGTAAGCTTTTTTTGGTTGTATTTTATAGAAAACATTTATCTTTGATCCAAGTTTTCAAAAATACAAGTACTAATGTCTCAGTTATTGATTGAAGACATCTTTAAACTCCTAAATTGCTCAAATTCATCCTGCCGTTCATTTTTAATGCACATCAATGTAAGGCAAGTGCTGGTGGATTGAGAAGGCCTAACCCATTTACACAGAACATGCTCCCATCCCTGCCCAAATCACTTTAAGACTTAAGGCTTTAGTGGACATAACAAGGCTCAAAAAGACAATTTTCCACTGGAAATGAGATTTAAACCAGATGCAGAAGATTAACCCTAAAAATCAAAACATGAAAAACAGGAAAACGTGATGTGATGTGCTATATTTAATACGTGCAGTGTCAGGAGTCTCTAAAAGCAAATTCACTGGTGTGCAGCCTTAACCAGCATCTTTTATTCACATTTTCTTTACTTGATGTTAATAGGCTCAATCCTGATCATGAAAATGTGTTTTTCTTTCCTTAATCAACTCAGAATAATAGAATAATCAGAATTGATTATTCTACCTTCTCCACACTGATCCTGCTCTCTGACCAGCTGCTGAATTTCTGCTCATCTGAAGCTGGAGTAAAAAGCTGTCACATGAGCGCAGCCACTTGACCCTCAGAGAACTTCCAGCAGTATGTGTTCAAAGCTCTGTGAGGTGGTTGTCCACTGCAGAGTGAGTAAGTGTGAAAAAAGTGCGATGTAAATGTAAACTTGTTGTTAGTGCTACACGGTTTTAACTGAAATGTTTGCACAAAACTGAAACTTGGTGCTGGGTGTTTTGTGTTCGTCTTGTGCTGTTGGAGTTTTTGGAGGGGCGCCGCCCTCAAAGCACCCTCTGCAGGACGTAGAGAATGCCGATGCTGTCGATGGTGACGAAGGTGGAGAAGTCGGGTGACACGTGGATCTTTTTCAGAGCGCTTCCCGTCGGATAGAAGGTCTGAAGTTCCTCTCCCTTCTCCACATTCCACCACTGGAGGTATGACAACAGAAAAAAAAAGAAGAGGAAACAAACCTTAGTCGGAACGCTGACGTTAAAGATGAATTTGACATTTTTGGTACATGACAACAGCAGATCGTTTCGTGTTGTTCTGCTGAGGATGCTCAACAACGGACTAACACACACTCACACAAGTTTAAAAACAGATCACAACACCTAAAGTGCATGAACAACTGTAGCCAATCTGAATTCATGTGTTAAAAACACTCCAACAGACGGAGGGCTTTGGGATGCAGCACAGGGGACGGTGATGAATTCAGTAGTACAGTACACACACACACGCACCAACACGCACACACACACGGTCCTCATGTGCTCTCCTGAGCCATTCTGTTTAATCTGGGTTTAAAACTGACATTTTCCTGCGACGCTCCGTCTCACTGGGACGAATCATCAAAGCCACATCAAGTCAATCATTTATGGCTTGGTTGTGAGGAGGCACGCATTCGACTTTAACAATATTTAGCATGGCAGTGTCACATCAAGCAAAGACATCGTACCTCATCCAGCTTAATAAAAAGACGGGCGTCCCGCTGATGGGTTGACTCTCTGTAGGGGGTGCTTAGCGGTAAAGCTGAAGTTGCTGTGTGTGTGTTTAGGGCATTTTCTCTGCCTCAGCATACAGAAATCAAGAAGCAACACAGCAGAGTCACAGCACAGAGGCTTGGAGAGGGCTCATTAGCATCCTATCAAATAAGTCATAAAGAAAGTGTTGATTCCAGAGTTATCCATAACACATTCTGAAGAGACAGGACTGTACTGATTTCCACAGCATGCTGAGCCTGTTACCCAGCAGGATAAAAATGGAGTGAGAAAGCGTGTGTACTGTTTTTTTTTGCTGGCACCATTGATTTCTTCGGGTGTGCACACACACATTTGTTCTCTGTAATACCAAATTGCTTTACTTTTTCCAAGGATATCATGAACTAAAAAACAATTCCCTTAAAGACGCCTTAAAGTGTATTGTTTGTCATTGATGCAGGTCACATAAACAGTCAGAAATCATAGAAAAAAAAAAAAAAACTTTTACTCTATTTGCTTTTTTCTCGCTTTGAGTAGGAACTCATTTGGCGTACAGCTCAAAAGAGCATTAGCCTAACACTTCTTTACTTCACCTGTAGTAAAAGCGAAAAATGAAAAGTTCACTTCTTGCCGGATTTGAAAAGTAAGCTCCTCCCAACGCTTTAAAAACGTCCAGTCAGAGGGCTGCTGAACTCCAGCCATTAATTCACAGAGCAAACAGTAATTGCGCCCTTTTCCAACTTACATTTGTCCTTTCTGACGTTTCACCTCCCATCTCCCAACAATAAGGTATCAAATCATTGCTTAACTTACACCATTAGGAATTGTTAAAACACATTAGAGCCGGAAGCCATGCACAAACAGAGGCTGTTTTAACAGGACTGCTAACAGTTCACCAGCCTGGCTCCTTCTTTAACGTCTAAGCTTGCAGCACCATGATGAATCTGTGTGATGTTTACTTAAACATCAAAGCTATGCTATGTAATCTGCTGCTGCCCTTGAAACTGAATGAGGATGCACACGACGCTTAGTTAATCGAATTATTTTCACATTTCTGCAGGCCTCATGTTTAACATAATCCTCCTGGATGACACATGGACAAATTGGGAAATGTTCACAAAGAAGCGACAGGTTGTTTTAGTTTTCATTTGTGAGCTGATGGAGTGGTAGAAGTGCAGCCTATGAGGATTTCAGCAGCTGTTATCAGCTCCCTCCCTGCTCCCAGCAATCACTGCAGGGCTTTCAGGTACCAGCAGCTATGGCTGGACCCCCCGCAGTGTGTCCTCATGTTGGTGGTGCCTGGGAAAAAGCACCTGTACTCACACACACTGTGACGATGACCTCTAAATGCCAAGCGTGACGTACAGTTGGCGCCTGTGAAAAAAGGGACAGTACACTGCACTGCAGAGTGGAACAAAAGCCCGTTCCATCATTATTTGTTCTGTTTTGCATCCAACACAACTGTAGTTCAGTTAGAGGTGTTTTCATTTGTTTATCCACTTACACAGACGGATCAGACTCCTGTCGGCCACTTTCTTAACAGGACAATTTTTTTTATTTTTATTAACTGCGTCTCATCGTGCATCTGTTCCAAAGCAGCAGAATAATCTCAGCATTGCACTCTGTCGCTGTGCAGCCTGGTGTTTTCAATGTGCCGTTTTGCATTTGTGAACGATGCCCACCGCTGCACAGAGAAGCAAACACAATTTTAATTTTCAAGTGCATTTTCAGCGAGGATTAGAAGTGGGTTAGGTGTTTTTATATCACCAACTGCCGTAAAGAAAAAGATTAAAAAAAACAAAAAACGATCCTACTTGAAACAGCTTGGATAAATCCTGCTCATAAATATCAGGCAGAATCTGTGTTCACAAACATGGGCTGTTCGATAAAACAGTATTTTTAGACTAAGACAGAGATTTTGTCTTGGAGAGAGAGAGAGAAAAATGGTCGGGCTGAAAAACACCTGTCTTTTTCTAAAGTGCTGTTCTGCAATGCTGGCTTACACATAACCTTTGCTGACCTTTGTCACCACCGCCCTCGCTGGCTCAGAGGCGGATCAGCTGTCACTCAACTCTGACCCCTACCTCTCCAGCCGCCTCTGGACTTCACACAGGATACTGATGCGTAAGCAAACTGCATCACCTGATGCCTAAAAAGTCAGGTGTAATATGCTGTTCCATTTTCACGATAAAAAAAGTCCATATTTGGGTGGTTTTCACATCCAGGAGAATTCAGTGGTGCTTATGACTCACCCTGCGTTATCCGTAGGCTGAATCTTGGTATGAAAAGGTCAACCATGACAAATTCGGTCTAATTGTTGGTGGATGTAGACAGGGGTCAGACACGCAACACCAGCAATAGCACTGAAGCTAAAAATTAAGGAAAGAGGAGCTGAAAACTAAACAACCAGCTCACAATAAGGTCTGTTGAGCCTTCCATGAGCTCAGGCACTACAGATGAACGCGGATCACAGAAAAAAGACTTAACTAAGATGTATCAATTCGCTCAGTAAAACATGTATCATTGGAGTAGGGATGGAGACACTAGCTTAAAGCATAATTCTGCCTGAATGGAATTTAAGATGGCCACTGGCTGCCAAAGCACAGAGCGCTCAAACAAACAAACAACAACAAAAAAAAACTTTCCCTGCTCCATACATGTACTTGTCAACAAGCAAGAACTAACCCACCAATCACAGACTGAAGCAGACGGGGAAGAAAACAACCAGAGTCAAAGAATAATTAGACTGAATCTCTGTGAAGGAAGAGGAAGAAGAACACTCCAGCTTGTTATAAAAAATTATCAAAAAGATTTGCTGTAAGTTGCAAAATAAATCATTGAAACTGGAGAATCTCTGGCTGGTGGAGCAGAGGGGGACGCGTGGACGAAAAGTGTGAAAACAATGCTGACTTGAATGAGGGCGATTTTACTAGAAAGGACAAAAAGAGGCCAGAGAAACCCCATATTTAATGATTCACACAGAGGGTTGCGAAAGGGACACCAGGAGAAGGAATTGCAATTCTAGAGAATTAGTTTTAGTTTAAATGGAGGGTAGTTGATAATAGAATTGCAGGGCAACAGAGCAGAATAAAGCCGGATAGATTACTCAAACTGTTCTCCCTCTCAAAGGAGGCTACAGCCTGGTGTTTTGTGTTTGTGTGGAACAAGGCTTCCATATCTGCGGAGCAGATGGCTGATCTGCTGATATCAACACCACCAGGGTGGGACAATTGATTTATGGGAGTTTGGGATGCACATAGAAGTTAAATGACTATACAGTGTGTGAGTAGCTCTCTGAGCAGCTCTGTGTGTGTCGCGTGTGCATGTTTTCATATTCAAACACCTTTACCATGCTGTGGATCATTTCAGCAACCTCAGCATTACCGAGAGACAAGAGGAAGGGCTGGAATTTTCTTTAGATGAAAAGTTAAATTTTTTGGTATTTGAAACTGGAATGCTTTATATTCCCTTTAGTGTCCTGCTTAATATACAAGGATAGTCATGGGTTTAATTACTTGTATGTTTACTTGACATATAAAGATCACAAGTAATTTAACTTTAACCTGAATAAGGGGAGTCCTTTAAAGGAATATGTTACCAGGGTTTTTCTTATCACTTCTTGAACTTCTGAGGAAACATGAGCTTCTAGTGCAGTCATCACTAGCCCAGAGTTAGTAACCTTAATTCTGGCTAGCATGAAAGCAGCACAAGATGCATCAAACATCGAGGACTAAATAGGTCTGCTTATTCAGGCTGCCCGAGGGAAAGTCAGCGTGGCTTACATAACGGGAAAACCTGTCTTGTGTGTTCTTGTGAAGGCCAGAACAATCCTTTTGTATCAGTGAAAGCACAGTTGGGTCTTTCAGAATGGTCGATGGAGGCAATTCATCTTCCTCTTACAAAAATAGCTCCACTGCAGAGTCCAGAGGGAGTAGGCAGAGTTACAAGAACTTTATATATATATATGTGTGTGTGTGTGTGTGTGTGTGTGTGTGTGTGTGTGTGTGTGTGTGT